AGGAGAGAGAGAGAGAGAGAGAGAGAGAGAGAGAGAGAGAGAGAGGAGAAGAGAAACTGTGTGTGTGAGTATTTGTGTGTACACGCATGTATATTTCTGCCAAATTCCATAAGTGATCTCACCTACGACCATGATGTTACTCTGCCACGCACATGAAGAATTATCTTCCAGATATCCACAATGTTGGCTTTTGTTCAGCTGAATCGACAAGCTGTCCACAACCTGTCATACACATGACGTAACTCTTGAAACATAGTAGACAAGCAACTTGTCTATGAAGCTAACGTCGGAGGCCTAATGGTTAGGGTCTCAGACTCGCAACCGTAAGGTCATGGGTTTGAATCCCGTCAGAGACCTGACGTTATGTCCTTGGGAAAGGCAATTAAAACGGAGTTTCCTCACTTCACCAAGGTGAGAATGGGTACCCAGCTATAGACGGTGAAATTTCTTGTCTGTCAGTTTGTTAGTGTTTGAGCGCTTAATGAGCTGCTTGCACTGTATGCTTTTCGAGAAGCTGAGAATGTTTCTCAGTGTTATCGTTTGCTGGGGCAATACTATAGTGTAAAGCGCACAGAGCTTGCGGTAGAGCGGGATTATGCGCTACACAAATGCTATTTGTTGATGCTATTATTACTGTAGAACACTATCTGTGAGTACGATAAGCAAAGTGTATTGTTTTAATGTAAAGTGTACATGTAAACAATCAGATCCGAAGTTCCATCAACTGCGTTTGTCTCTGAAGATAAAGAGAATGATCATGTAGCTGTTCTCGGGTTTAGCCTCTCCTTTCCAGCTAAATTATTGTCAATATAGTGTATTGGATGTATGTCTGCTTAGCACGACGGCCACTTCTTTTAAGAGTACTTATATGAGATCATATTGCATGACAATATGTTCCCAAATTTCTGTTTAGGTGTTTGTAGGATTTTTCATGGTTTTCGGTTATATAAGACGGACCTTGAATTTTGAGGGCCAACCTCCTAATGAAAGTTTATAGGAGTATTCCACTTATTACCAACCATTAATTAATCAACCACATACATTTGACCATAATTTAATTTTTTGACTGTTCAATATGGTTTTCTTTTGTCAGTGTGTTGCATTCAACGACGACTACAAAACTCCGGAAGAGGTGAGTAATCCTACCTGTCTAAAAGATTTCTTACGGTGTCTAGCAACTTCTTTTTATTGTGGTAATGATCTTGTGATGTTGACTTTGTGTTAATTAAAATAGAGAAATATGTTTTACTATGATTGTGCTTAAAACAAGTGATTTTAAATTAGATTTATGCCAGTGGACGTAAATGGGGGGAGGGTAAGCAGTACATGTAAATAAACGACAAAGAATTCATAAACAAAAAGAAAACAAAACCGAAAACGTGAAGCAGTAACTAAAATGTTATTAGAATTTCTACCAAAAATTGTACTCCTAATGGACTTTGCATACAGTCCTTCACTTACAATCACCGTGTTCTGATGTGTTTCAGGGAGCCAAATTTGTGTTTGAGAATCTGAAAGACCTGATAGAAAAGATGGTGAGCGTGAAGACGAACATAAGTAAGCGGGACCTTGACCTTGCCAACCATGATATGTACCGCGCCAACAGGGAGAGCATCTACGTGGGTACAGAGGACAAGCTCAAACAGCTGGATTTGGCAGTCACAAAGGGTAAAATGTTTGCTTTTTTGGCTTGATGAAAACAAATACGTTCGGCACAGCCTGGCAGTTACGAAAGGAGAAAGGTTCGGTTTTTGGCTAGATTAAACTGTCTCACGAACACTTTTGGTACAGTATAGCAGTTGCGAAAGGTAGGAGGTTTGATTTTTGCTTGATTAAAACTCTCTTATGAGAACTTTCGACATAATCTGGCAGTTGCAAAAGGTAAAGGTTTTTTGTTGTTGCTTGATTAGAAATGTCTTACGAACACTTTCGGCACAGTCTGGTCCCCACAAAAGGTGGAAGGTTTGGATTTCGGCTTGACTGAAACTGTTTTAGGAACCAATTTGGCTTCGTTTGGCGGTTACAAAACTTAAGAGGTGGTGTTCTGGCTTGATTAAAACTGTTTTACGAACACTTTCAGCACAGACTGGGCAATTTACCATCTTGAGCTTAGCTGTTTTATTGAAGACAGTTATACCACACCCGTCCTGAGTGCGAAATTTCAGATGGCAGACGAAGATACTCGATAACATAACTTCCCTACTCAAACTCACAGGTGCAGCCGTGAAGACGCTTACCATTACAGATACCGTTGTTTATGGTGTTGGTTTTGCTTGTTTTTGTTAGTGGAATGGAAAACGTTCAGTTTCTCAAGAAATATTGTCACGTCACATAAAATGAGATGCCCCTGTACGCAATTTCGATGACAGTTCCCAAACGATCCTCGTCCGATAATACACCGTTCGGGATTCGGAGCAGGATCTTCTGCATACGCACACACACGCACTCACACACACACACATACACACACACACACACACACACACACACACACACACATGCACACACACATACATACATATAAACTCAAACACACACATACATATACACACAAACATACACACACATACAGACACAAACACACGAATACAAACACAAACACAGATACACAAATACACACACACAACCACAATCAGACACACACACACACAAAGACACATAAACACACACACAAACACTCTATCCCCCCCCCTCTCTCTCTCTCTCTCTCTCTCTCTCTCTCTCTCTCTCTCTCTCTCATACATCCTTTCCTGCACACGCATATGCAACCGAAAATTAAAAACAAAGCCAAACAAAACAGCGGCTCTACTCCAGCAGAACACAACGAAAAACCCTTCTGTCCGTCCCCAGGTCAGCATGCAATGATCATAGGAACCGGCGGATCTGGCAAGGCCGCCCTGCTCGCTCGTTGGCTGACCACTCAGAAGAAGAGAGCCAGACCTGGACTTATCTATCATTTTGTCGGCTGCGCCACCGACAGTGCCGGTGGGTATTTAGCTTATATCATCAGCGATCAGAAACAATAATATAAGATACGATGGCGTACGATAATAAAGGGTAGATCCATTTTTAATAAAGAGAATGACATAATATGAGATAAAAAAAGTTGTCAAATAAAAAATGAAGAGATAAAATGTCAAACGATAAGACAATATTAGCATGTAATGAGATGAAATGTCAGCATCTCTGAAGATTTTAGATAAATAAGATTAAAAGAAAAAGAGCAAGTTGAGTAACGAATAGTAAGCTATTGTAAGGTAGAAATTTGGAAGTAAAAAAAGTAACTGAAACAAGACAAACTGGTGCTAAATAATGCAGTTAAGGTAACGTTAACAATATGCACCTTTCTTGTATTCATATCAGCCTTTAGTTTTTGTTACCTTTTCTTTCCACAGTTGTAACTACTCCATAGCCCTTCGCTCTCCACAAATAAATAAATAAATAAATAAAAATAACTAACTAACTAACCAACTAACTAACTAACTAGATAACTAGCTAGCTAACTAACTAACTGAATAAATAAATAGACAACATTGATGAATAAATAAATGAATATATAAATTAATAAAAGAATAAATACATAAATACATATAAATAAATATATATAAATAAATAATAAATAAATAAATAAATAAATACATAAATAAATAAATAAATAACATATTCCACCGCCAGCGGTACCTGAAATCGTCCGTCGTCTGACGGTGGAGCTCCAACATCTGAGCGGTGAGAAGACCAAATCTCGGAGTGAGCAGCTGAGTGAGATGGACGAAAGCTTCAGTACCTCTGCCCTTGACCTTGGTGAGCAGTGTCGCCAGCTGGACGTGCTGCTCACTAAGGTGGCTACCAAATCCAAGGTCATCCTGGCCATTGATGGGCTGGGCAAAGTGAACACCGCTTCCAGGACAGCTAAGGTGGGAACTCGGGGATTACTCATAATACGTCATATCGTAATATTATATTTTCTTTTTTTATATATAATATGCTACCTCCGAAACAGCCATCAGTGATTATGGATCGACTCTTATTTTTTTTTTCATCAGAAGCTCTGAAAAAGTAGTAGTATTATTATACTTTCTTTCGACAGGATAGTAAACGTTTCTTGTCTTCACAACTTACACTGATGACGAGGGAAACCCTAATAATCAGGGAAATGTCAGTATACAATATTAAAGAACACAATTAAAATACCATACTCGATAACATAACTTTTCCACAATGGAATCGATCTCACAACTTTTGAGGTGGAACTCAAAATTACTGAATACACCAATGAAAGCGTAATTATTAGGAAAATGCTGTGATATATTTTATAAGAAAAGGTACTTCAACTTTGTTCAAATGTTGTGAGTTCACATTAAGGCGTCAGACTCTTTTATGTTTGAATCCTGTAAATCTAAACTCACCACCGGTTTTGATACGAGACTTTTTGACAAAAATTAGAGAACTTTTACTGTCCCCTTTGATCACCCGCCACAGTATAAAATTTCGACAAGACTTTTAAGCGAATAAATTGGAGGTAGGTTTGGGGGGGGGGGGGCTGGATAATAATATAGCCTCACTAGGCACAATGTAAATATTTCGACTGGAAGAATACATGTCTCATTTTTCGGCTTTTGTTACAAAACGTTTTGGAAGCAGGTGAAACTTTGAAACAGTTTGCCTCTTTCATAGGATGATGTGAAAAGCGTTAATGTATATTTTGGCAACTTACCACGTTAAAAATGTTATTTTGATTCTCATAATTTCCTTAATTGTATACATTCTTTGACAACAGGCTCAGAACGTTATATTCTTCTTCTTTTTCTCTAAAGCCGTTGTTTTGGTTGCCTGCTTGCACCTCGAGCAACGTGACCATCATTGGGACATGCCGAGACAGCGACAAGGAGGTCATAGATGAACTGATGTCACGTGGTTTCACCAAGATCTCCTTAGAGGATTTGAACAAACAGCACAGAGAAGAACTGAGCAAGGTATGTATACTTTGGTTCCAGATGAAAGCCCTACCTGGGAGACATCGGTGACACAATTTTTATAATGGAAGTAGATGACCAACCGTCAGGTGCAAAATCCTAAATGGGTTTCTAAAAAATAATTCGAAATTCGTCCCATTTGCAGAAGATTGTTGGTTTTTTTCCAGGAAATTCTGTCTTCTGAAATAAAAGTCTACCCCCCCCCCCCCCATTGTTGAATGGAACGTGATACTCACATTATACACAGTCTTACTCCCTCTACGATACATTATTGATGATTTCCAAGACAAAGCAAATGCCCATGTGGTAAGACAAAAGGCAAAGAAAAACAAAAAAAAAGGGACACACATCAGAGTAAGGAAACAATAAAACATTTAGAATGACAACAACCCCCCCCCAAAAAAAAACAACAACAACAACACAAAAACAACAACAACCCCCAGACACAATAAAACCAGACTGATTTTTCACTGTAACGAAGCCCC